CCGGTGGCATATACTCTGCAGGCAGCCAACGGTACGAGCATTAAGACCTATGGTGAAAAGCTTCTCACTCTCGACCTAGGTCTTCGCCGTCAGTTCCCGTGGGTTTTCACAGTGGCCGACGTTAAAAAACCCATTATTGGTATGGACTTTCTCACGTCATTTGGTCTCACGGTTGATCTCCACAGACGGCAGTTGCTTGACAATTCGACGACTCTCTCTATAAATGGCAAGGCTTCATCCATTAATTCTATTGGAATCCGCCCAGCTTTGCCGGATAACCGTTACACAGCACTGCTTCGCCAATTCCCAGAGATCCTGAAACCTGCTTCCAAGACCACTTCCGTAAAACATGACGTTTTCCACCATATCTCGACAAAAGGCCCACCCACCGCATCCCGTCCACGGAGGTTAGCTCCGGAGAAGCTTGCCATAGCCAAGACAGAATTTCAGCATTTGCTTCAACTGGGTATCATACGACCATCAAGCAGCCCCTGGTCATCTCCACTGCATATGGTCCCCAAAACGTCCGAGGGAGATTGGAGACCATGTGGCGATTATCGTGCACTAAGTCGTGTCACCATCCCGGACAAATACCCAATTCCGCATCTGCATGATTTTGCCCTTACTCTTCACGGCAAATCTGTCTTCAGTAAATTAGACCTCGTCAGAGCATATCACCAGATACCTGTCGCTCCAGACGATATTTCCAAAACGGCTGTCACCACTCCATTCGGTCTATATGAATTCGTTCGTATGCCATTTGGGCTCAGAAATGCAGCTCAAACATTTCAACGATTCATGGATCAAGTTTTACGGGGATTAGACTCCGTCTACGCTTATGTTGACGATGTACTTATCACCAGTCGGTCCGAAGACGATCATGTGCTTCACTTAGAGTGAGTTTTTGAAAGATTTCAGCAATATGGTATAGTCATCAATACTAGTAAATGCCAATTTGGTGTTTCGCCACTGGAAATTCTAGGACATATTGTTGACTCGGACGGCATCCGTACTCTGTCATCTAAAGTTTCCGCCATTTGCGACTTTCCAGCTCCCAACAGCATTAAAAAGTTAAGACGTTTCCTTGGTCCTATCAATTACTACCGTCGCTTTATCCCTAACTGTGCCGAGGTTGTCCAACCGCTCACCGACTCAGTCAGACTGAAAACTCGCAGCTTAACCGTCACAGCGGAGGCCATTGCGTCATTTTAGACGGTTAAGGAAGTGTTAAATCAGATAATTTGGCCGACCTACTCAGACTGAAAACTCGCAGCTTAACCGTCACAGCGGAGGCCATTGCGTCATTTTAGACGGTTAAGGAAGTGTTAAATCAGGTAAATAATTTGGCACATATAAATCCTGATCCGTCTACACCTCTTTTCCTGGTTACTGATGCTTCACAAACCGCAGTTGGTGCAGTTCTACGACAGGAGGTCAACGATGTAATACAGCCCTTATTATTCTTTTCGCATCGCTTACAACCTGCACAGACTCGATATAGCACTTTTGGCCGTGAACTTCTCGCAATCTACTTAGCTGTTCGGCACTTCCGACATATTTTGGAAAGCCGACACTTCGTGATTCTCACAGATCATAAGCCGCTCACTT